GTTCCGTAGCTTGCCTACTAGACACCTTACCTTTCGCAGCCATTTTCACCTTGTTTGCTGCGCATGCTTTGCACTTCATGTGGTACCTGCAGGGTTTAATAGTCATACCTTCAACCAAGGCAGGCATTTTAGATACTGCCTCAAAATGCAAATGACCAAATTTTCGATGAAAATCATGAATACATCCTGCATGCAAACTTTTGTTAGAACCTGCAATGCAACAAGTGTCATCCTGCACAACATCATCATAATATAAAACAAACAAACGATCAACATATTCAGCATGCAATACATAATCATTTTTCTTCGTGATGATGCACTTCCTGTTCTTGAAGGAAACGTCAATGTTCCGCTCATTCAGCTGTCCTACGCTGAGCAAATTATGTTTGGCGTCTGGCACGTATAGGACATTCTGTATCGATAAGTCCAAACTGTGAAGAACAACAGTTCCGTAGCCTTTACTGGGAATCGTGTGGTCATCCGCCTGGTGAATCGCACCTTCCTGCGGTGTAAAAGACACAAACAGTCTCTTATCGTTGCACATGTGGTGAGTTGCCGCTGAATCAACAACGAAGAAAGATCTAGACGCCTTCTGGACCTCTGCAACCTTTGGAGTGAAGCGTGAAACCATAGCCTTGTGCTGCGTTGTCCTAGACACCGGACCTTTGCCTTTGCCTCGGCCTTTTCCACGCGATGAGCTTTCGCTGCGCTGCTCTGTCTTGGCCTTGGGATATCTGCATTCCCTCTTCATATGGCCTAGACGTCCACATGAGTAGCATTTCACTGCCTTCAAAGCTTTGGCGCCATCTGGTGGTTCCACTGCACTATGGGATGACGTCTGTGAAGACTCCCCCTTGCCCATGCAGCTAGCACCCCGGCGATCTGCTTCATTTAATATCACGGCAGTAACAAAGTCCACTGTCAGCTGAGCTGTTGGGTGCACAGCAATCTGGGTTGCAACAGACTCCCAACCTGAACCCAAAGATTGTAGTATCATGAAAGAATACACAGCCTCTGGAAAGTTGAGTCCTCTCTGTTGCAGCTCATGTCTCAGATTTTGCATCTCCATCAGATGTAAACGCACATTTCCACCTTCAGCAAGAGCCATATTATGCAGCTTGTTAAAGTAAAACATAGTGGATCCAGCTTCTGTCCTTAAGTGAGCCTCTCTCAAAGCGTCCCAAGTTTCTCTGGCTGAGGTCTTATCACGAAATAGACAGAGCTCTTCTGGGGATACTATCAATGTAAGTGTTCCCCTCGCTTTGGAATCCTTAGCTTTCCAGTCATCTGTAATTGGAGCTGGGGGGGTGTCTGTAATCACTGCAAACAAACCCTCTTTCCGCAGAATTGCCTCTGCATACAGAACCCAGTCCGCATAGTTTTTCTTGTTGAGCTTAGGAATCCCACAAGCATCCTGAAGGGCCATCATGACTCTGGCATTAGCCTTCAGCGTCATATATGCTGCTTTAAATCTTGCTGCGTCACTGCTGCAGCTGCTTTGTTCCTAAAGCGCACTTAAAAGTTACTTTCGATTTCCCCAGCATAGTAACGTAGCCTGGGAGCCTTTTGCGTATTCCCGGCAAAACGGCTTTAAAAGTTCAAAGCCCAGCCATAAAGCCATTAACTGGAAGCTGGCAGGCTGCCCGGAGCAGTAGCACATACCTCATCAATCATGTTTACGCGCAGAGCAGATTCCGATCCGATCTGTCCCTCTGCATTCCGATCCTTTGCCGGCACTCCGATTCGACTTCTGGGCCCATAACCACGTGTTGGTGTAAAGCAGAGTCCCGTGCCCAGCGGAAGGATGAGGAGTACGTACTACATACTCTATATTGCTTTATTTACAGTTCAAAGCTAGTATATTACAGAAAGACATCTTGCCTCTGCCGGAGCAGGAAAAGCATCCTCTCTCCTCGACAGCTCGGAGAGAATCACACAGTGAAAAACAGGAAACCAGTGTACGTCACATCCAGTCTCCCTTTCCCGTGAGAAACTCCAACAGTACAGACTGTGGAATGTAAACACCTGTCTCGTGACAAGCCCTTTCGCTGCACAGTGAAGGAAAGCAGAAACTAACAGAGTGCACCCAATAATTCTCTCTGCAGTCTTTACAACCCTGGATAGCATTGTTTTTTCCCTGGCTGTGCAGCTCCCAAACCACACGCACAGACCATAAGTTAGTACGCTCTCCACAGTGCAATGGTAGAATGCCATCAACAGGTCCTTTGAGAGATTGTTTTTCCAGAGGATTCTCAGAAAATATAATCTCTGCTGTGCTCTCTTCACCAGGTCTTTGCTGTTCTCTCCCCAGGTTAGGTCGTCTCTCAACTCCATTCCCAGAAATCGAAACACTGAGACCTGTTCCACGCACTTCCCCTCAATAATAAGTGGCTGAATATTCAATTTGCATTTCCTAAAGTCCACAATGATCTCTTTTGTTTTCTTTAAGTTAAGCAGTAAGTTGTTTTTCCTGCACCACTCCCCCAACTGCTCAACTTCCTTCCTATAGGCCGTCTCCCCCTCTCCAGCCGTAATTAAACCAACCACCGTTGTATCACCTGCGAACTTAATGATCTTATTACTGCGGTATTTGGGGGCACAGTCAGCTGTATAGAGCGTGTATAAAAGCGGGCTCAACATGCACCCCTGCGGCATCCCCGTATTCGTGATGAGATCCGCAGAGACGCGGGAAACCAAGCTGACCCTCTGGGAACGGTTTGATAGAAAGTCTAATATCCACCTGCACAAACATGGTGGAAGTCCCAGGTCTAATAATTTGGGCACCAATCTATGCGGAAGAATAGTATTAAATGCAGAACTAAAGTCTACAAATAAAATCTCGCATAGTTCCCTTGCTTCTCCAAATGAGTCAGGACAGCATGTAAAGCCATTGCCACAGCATCCTCTGTGGATCTCTTTGCCTTGTACGCAAACTGGTAAGGGTCAAGTCCCACTGGCAGACAAGATAAGATGCGCTTCCTCACCAGTTTTTCGAAACATTTCTTTATAATGGGTGTCAGCGCCACAGGGCGAAAATCATTCAGACTGTCTATCTTTGATGTTTTTGGCAGGGGTATGATGGTAGCGGATTTCAGACATGGTGGAACAGTGGCTTGGGCCAGAGACTGGTTAAAAATCTTCGTAAAGATTCCTGCTAGTTGGTCCGAACAATCTCTTAGCACCCTGCCAGCCACCCCATCCAAGCCAATAGCCTTCCTCGTGTTTACCTCCTTTAATATTCGCCTCACTTCTCCCTCTTACACCCTGGCAGCATTTCCTGTAAGTAGTGACGCCAATAGCTCTGGCATCCCTGTTGGAGTCGCTGTTGGTGTCACCTCAAATCGGGCAAAGAAGGTATTCAACTCTCCCACCAAGGAAGCAGTACCCTCTACCACTGATAAATTCCTTGATTTATAACCAGTCAGATGCTGGACTCCCTGCCACATTTGTCTAGTATCATGATTTCTCAGATGGTCCTCAATTTTTCCTCTGTACTCCGCTTTTGCTTTCCTGATACCCCTCTTCAAGTTTGCTCTTTCTATGCCATATAATACCCGGTCCCCAGTTCTAAAAGCAGAATCATCACCACAGATCTGAAATGGAATCTTACACAAGTTATTTTAACTAGTAAAAGACATCCATGCTAATGATCCAGAGGGTTCCCCCCCCCTTCCTTCTCTCCCAATTTGCCCATTTTGGCTAATGATTCATAGAATTGTGGAGTTGGAAGGGACTCTGAAGGTAATCCAGCTCAACCCTCTCCAATTTAGAAATCTCAGCTAGATCACCCACCACCGAGGCCATCATGACACGAAACAACTATCTGAAATCCCATGAAGAGAGGGATACTGCCAAAGTACATTAACGCCGAACCATTAAAAAGGGAAATGTGCTTTAGAGACCAACACTGCCATCTTCTTCGGGCAGAAGCACTGGCAAATCTCCATGGCGGAGGGCCGCCTTCTCTCGCGCTGTCTCTAACAAAAGGCAGTTGGGGCTTGGAAGGGAAAGCTTTGAAACCAGGCACGCACGCAGAGAACTGAACCTGCCCCCCCCCCGCCATGCTGAGACTCCGAAGGCGGCTCTCTTGGCTGCATTGGCGAGGATGTTCTAGATTCTCTGGCTGAGCTTGAGGGGACTGTGGGCTCCCCTCCCGGGAGGGCGGACTCACATGTGCGGGTTGCGCTGGAAGGCGTTGCGCAGGTCCTTCAGCACGCGCTGCACCAGCACCGCCACCTCCTCCGGGGACTCGGCCATGGCGGGCCGCCGCCGCCGCCTCCTTCGCCTTGGCCTCCTTCTCGGCTCTGGCGCGGGCAGAGGCGGGCCGGGAAAGCCGAGCGCATCCGGGTCAGCGGCGCCGCGGGGCGGAGCGCCGAGCTCGGGGAAGCCAGGAGGGAGCGCCACTGAGGACGGCGGCGCCGCGGTCGCTCCGCCAAAGGCTTCCCTCGGGGCAGAGAGCGGGTCCGTCCCTCCCGAGAGGAAGCCGCCTCGCACGGCCGCCGCCCCAGCCGGCTGCCTGCCTGCCTGCCTGCCTGCCTGCCCGTCTCCCGGCCGGGGCGGGCCAGGGGTCCCGCGGCAGAGACGGGCGGGGCTTCCCCGAAGAGGCTTCGCTGGCCGGGGGACCCCTCCCGGCTTCCCTGGACAGCGGAGCCGGATCCCGGCCCCCTCCCGCTCCTCCTCCGCCCGGGGAACGGGGCTGCTCTTCCCCAAGGCAGGGATTCTGTCGGGCACAGCTCTGCAGCTTGTACTTGCATCCCTATCCCAATCAAAATCCTAGCCTTTATTCCCCCCCCCCCAAAAAAAAATCTATGACGGTATTTAACTGCACGCCTGCTTCGTATTGCAGTCTTGCCTGGAAATCACAGCCAGTGCAAGGTGCAATCTTGCCCATTCTGTTTCAGAGCAATACATTTCAATGTGCTTACTGGGGGGAAAGTTGGCTCAAGTCTTTCACAATGCTCAAGTCTTTCACAATGCTCAAGTCTTTCACAATGTACCCTGGAATTGAGTTGGGGATTGGGGTTTATTTAATTTTTTAAAATGAATTTTGTATACTACAAATCCATATAATTCAGGGCGCTTCACAAGATAAATTATGAACAGTTACATCTGGGGAAGAATCTTTGTCACTGTCTATCTGGCCGACACAGCCCATGACTGGGGCTTGAGCCCACGGAAGGGATCCCCTTGTACAACGGGAGGCTGCGCCGGGAGGAATTGCAGGGCAAACAGAGATCTGCTGTAGCTGCCCTGACACCTAGTGATCCCTTCAAGGGACTGGGCAGGTGAAAGCATCCGCTTACTCATGTGACGCGCAGGGAATCCCCTTACACAAGGAGTTAATTTAGTCCGAAATGCTGCATCCCTTTGAGCCTTGGTTGAATTTAGGCCCTACATCCAGCAACCAGCATATAGCAATGAAGCGATCGACACAACAGTGCCTCTGTGCATGTGCAGAGTGAATTTCATTCGCCAGTGAGTATTACCACAACACAACCAGCCTGGGATGCGCGCAGGCTTCTCACGCAAAGGGTGTTTTTACCAAGTATTCCTACCACACCGAGGTGATTATATCTTTTAGAGCAGCAGCTCCACAGGCTTTGCTGGGGCTCTGCTCAAGAAGGCTGCTGCCTCGGGTCGCTTGCCTGGCAGGGCCTTTGCCCCCCCCCCCTGGAATAAAAAGTTCCGGTCTCGGGGCGGAGCGATCGCGAAGCCTCTGTGGTTGCCAGGGCGACCAGGCGCGGCGAGGAGGCCTCTGAGGCGGCCGCGATGGAGCTGGGCCCTCCGGACGTGATGGAGCGGCGGGGAGCCCTGACGCTGCGCTCGCCCTGCGCCGACTACGGGAGGCCCACGCTGGTGCACCGCTGGTGAGGGAAAGGCTCCCGGAGGCGACGGCGGGGTGAGCGTGGGCTGGGGGAAAGGCCTGCTCGAGATACGGGTTTTCCCATTCCGCTTGCACGGGCATGTTCCGGCGCAGCCTGTGGTTGAAAGGGTTTCAATTGTTCGTAGTGCTTCAAGTAACACCCTAAAAACTCTGAAAGTGCCCCCCCCCGAAATGTGATGGATCGTGCGCATCTGGGTAGGAGTCTCTTGTGTGTGCTTCTTTGGTAGCACCCATCTAGCTTATTACCGTTGTGTTTTGTTTTGTAAGGTACTACAAGAGAGAAGCAGAACCTAAGGACTATGACATACATGAAATTCCTTTGGGCTCTAAAAACTTATGTCGCTCTACCTACTGGCGACTTGGAACCATAGATGAGGTAAGAAAGCGTCTTTCCTCTTTCATGCCTATAAACAGGTCAGGAGTATAACTTTAATTAGCTGTCAAAATATTATTCCTTGTATTTGAATATGAAGAATAATTAGAAATATTTTTAAAACAAATTTCAGTAGCAATATAACTTATTTAAAATTGTCTTAGTTTCAAAAGCTGGTTGTTGTATGGAATGGGGAGGATTGTGTGACTGAAAAAAAGTCTTAATACAGTAGCCCAATCCTATGCGGGTGGCGCTGTGCTCCAAACAACTGAGCCTGTTGGGCTTGCCGATCAGAAGGTCGGCGGTTCGAATCCCCACGACAGGGTGAGCTCCTGTTGTTCGGTCCCTGCTCCCGCCAACCTAGCAGTTCAAAAGCACGTCCAAGTGCAAGTAGATAAATACCTACTTCTCTGGCGGGAAGGTAAACGGCGTTTCCGTGTGCTGCTCGGGTTCGCCAGAAGGTGCTTAGTATTCTCCTTTCATGCATGATACATGATGTTGTATGTGTAAAAGAGCCATCAGAAACCAGCAGGCAGAACTTTCCAATAACCAGCCCATCTAAATGCAGTTACTTTTTTATATTGTTTTTTGTTTTTATTGAAGATTTTCTTGGGTAACAGAAGTACATACAGCATCTCTGCTTTAGGTTCTAAGAGTCCTTTCTGCGGATGTTACACTAGTGGCCAAAATTGTGGAAACCTTTTTGAAAAAGTGTATTTCCGAGGTTTGATGGCTCATAACACCCCACCACTTAATGGATCCAAATGGTTTCCAGAGAGTGGTAGGGGATGTTTTATACTATGCTGATGGCCTTTCAGATGGTGGCCGGCTGGAATGCGGAGTTAACCAGGGCTATTGACTGTCTGGCTCCGAAGCGCCCTCTCCGATTGCATGGAGCCCAGACAGCTCTGCTGAAGAATTGAAAGACTGTGCCTACGTGACAGAAGAAAATTATCTGGGTGTATATAAGATGACATGGTGCAATGTAATGTGAAGTTGAGTGCAAGGACTGTTTGGTGCAGACTTTAGGAATATGGTCTAAATCCTAGAATTCCAAGGAAAAAGCCATTTTTATCTCTTAAACAAAGGTTTAAAAGATTAAACTGAGCTAAAACCCATGTTAATTGGACGGTGGAATAATGGGACAGTGTTATTTGGAGTGATGGGACCAAAATGTCCTTGCCTGGTAGTGATGGCATGAAATGCATGAGGAGAATTGGAGATTTACATCCTACTTACATTACACTTACAGTGAAACACTCAGGTATGTGTTGTAATCTGGGGTTGTATGACAGCAAAAGGTTTGGGCAGAATTTGCATCATTAATGGGAATGTAAATGCCCCCAAATACATAGCCCAGACCTTAACCCAATTGAAAATCTATGGAGCCAGCAATACAAACCCAATTAATAGAGGCAATAATTCAATCTTGGTTTCAAATGATTACAGCTGCAGAACGAAAAAACTTGGTTCCCTCCATGGGAAGGCGTTGTAAGACCATAATTAAAGCTAAAGATTACCCAACTAAGTATTCACTGACATGGTGATAATTTTTGTATAATTTTTTTAAATTAATTTTCAGTTAATAACATTCCAATTGGTAACAAATCAAACTGACTCTTGCCGCATCATAATACAAACAGTAAAGCCAATTATACTTTCCAAATTAAAATTTTCAAGAGCACTTCCCATGTTCTGGCTGTTGGGAGAATGTTTATTTCCCTTGTTCCTGCTTTCTTTTATTTTTTCCAATTTCATAATTCCAATCTTATCCCATTGTCTTATATCACATTCACTGCTGTATGATTTTCAGTCGCATTTAGCAAATCCATATGTCTATTATCATGCAAGAGGCATTTTATTTTGTGTTGTTATCCATCGATTGGTTTTCAGCACAGTCCCCCCTGGTGGCCCCCCCCTTTTTATTCCACAGTCCTTTTGTCAAGGGTTCTGGGCTCTCTTCCAGCTCTCCTTCTTTTAGTAAGATTTATGGCACAGCAATCTTTCAGGTCTTTTAACGAGCTGATGTTTCAAATATGAGTCTTGCGTAGAAAAGCAGGGCCATAGGGTATATTGCACAATCAGTAATTGTTAGGTTCCTCTGAAATCCAAGCTTGCTCTCCCTGGGCCCTAGGGAAAGCTCGCGAGGATCAAAGATTCATCCTCACTTTGACATTAATCCATATATAACAATAATCCATGCAAGCAAATGCAGTTTGTTGTGTGAAAAATTCCCCAATTATAATCCATCGATTATCTTCAGCCTCTCCTGGAGGGGAGGCCGTTTCTTTTTCTCCTGCACCACAGCCTGCACCCTTTTCTCAACCCGAGCCACATGTATATCTGATCTTGTTTTTGCCAGTTCTAATTCATAGAATCATAGAGTTGGAAGAGACCACAAGGGCCATCGAGTCCAACCCCCTGCCAAGCAGGAAACACCATCAGAGCATTCACAGAATCATAGAATCATAGAGTTGGAAGAGACCACAAGGGCCATCGAATCCAACCCCCTGCCAAGCAGGAAACACCATCAGAGCACTCCTGACATATGGTTGTCAAGCCTCTGCTTAAAGACCTCCAAAGAAGGAGACTCCACCACACTCCTTGGCAGCAAATTCCACTGTCGAACAGCTCTTACTGTCAGGAAGTTCTTCCTAATGTTTAGGTGGAATCTTCTTTCTTGTAGTTTGGATCCATTGCTCCGTGTCCGCTTCTCTGGAGCAGCAGAAAACAGCCTTTCTCCCTCCTCTATGTGACATCCTTTTATATATTTGAACATGGCTATCATATCACCCCTTAACCTCCTCTTCTCCAGGCTAAACATGCCCAGCTCCCTTAGCCGTTCCTCATAAGGCATCATTTCCAGGCCTTTGACCATTTTGGTTGCCCTCCTCTGGACACGTTCCAGTTTGTCAGTGTCCTTCTTGAACTGTGGTGCCCAGAACTGGACACAGTACTCCAGGTGAGGTCTGACCAGAGCAGAATACAGTGGCACTATTACTTCCCTTGATCTAGATGCTATACTCCTATTGATGAGGCCCAGAATTGCATTGGCTTTTTTAGCTGCCGCGTCACACTGTTGGCTCATGTCAAGTTTGTGGTCAACCAAGACTCCTAGATCCTTTTCACATGTACTGCTCTCAAGCCAGGTGTCACCCATCTTGTATTTGTGCCTCTCATTTTTTTTGCCCAAGTGCAATACTTTACATTTCTCCCTGTTAAAATTCATCTTGTTTGTTTTGGCCCAGTTTCTAATCTGTCAAGGTCGTTTTGAAGTGTGATCCTGTCCTCTGGGGTGTTAGCCACCCCTCCCAGTTTGGTGTCATCTGCAAATTTGATCAGGATGCCCTTGAGTCCATCATCCAAGTCGTTGATAAAGATGTTGAATAAGACCGGGCCCAAGACAGAACCCTGTGGCACCCCACTAGTCACTCTTCTCCAGGATGAAGAGGAACCATTGATGAGCACCCTTTGGGTTCGGTCAGTCAGCCAGTTACAAATCCACTGAGTGGTAGCATAGTCAAGACCGCATTTTACCAGCTTCTTTACAAGAATATCATGGGGCACCTTGTCAAATGCCTTGCTGAAATCAAGGTAGACTACATCCACTGCGTTCCCTTCATCTACCAGGCTTGTAATTCTGTCAAAAAACGAGATCAGGTTAGTCTGACATGACTTATTTTTCAGAAATCCATGCTGACTATTGGTGATCACAGCATTCCTTTCTAGGTGCTCACAGACTGTTTGCTTAATGATCTGTTCCAGAATCTTCCCTGGTATTGATGTCAGACTGACTGGGCGGTAATTATTTGGGTCCTCTCTTTTCCCCTTTTTGAAAATAGGGACAACATTTGCCCTCCTCCAGTCTGCCGGGACTTCGCCTGTCCTCCAGGAATTCTCAAAGATGACTGCCAGTGGTTCTGAAATCACATCTGCCAGTTCTTTTAATACTCTTGGATGCAGTTCATCTGGCCCTGGAGACTTGAATACATCTAGACTAGCCAAGTATTCTTGTACTATCTCCTTAGTTATTCTGGGCTGTGTTTCCTCTGCTGAATCATTTGCTCCAAATTCTTCAGGTCGGGCATTGTTTTCTTTATCGGAGAAGACTGAGGCAAAGAAGGCATTGAGGAGTTCAGCCCTTTCTGTGTCCCCTGTTTGCATTTCACCATCTTCTCCTCTGAGTGACCCCACGGTTTCTTTGTTCTTCCTTTTGCTACGAACATACCCATAAAAGCCTTTTTTGTTGCTTTTAACCTCTCTAGCAAGCCTGAGTTCATTTTGTGCTTTAGCTTTTCTGACTTTGTGTCTACACGTGCTGGCTATTTGTTTGAATTCCTCTTTGGTGGTTTCCCCCCTTTTCCATTTTTTGTACACATCCTTTTTTAATCTTAACTCAGTTAAAAGTTCTTTAGATAGCCACCCTGGCTTCTTTAGGCACCTTCCATGTTTCCGTCTCATTGGTATTGCCTGAAGTTGTGCTTTTACTATCTCCCTCTTAACAAACTCCCAGCCATCTTGAACTCCCTTTCCTTTTAGTATTACTGTCCATGGGATCTCACCCAGCACTTCCCTAAGCTTTATGAAGTCGGCTTTCTTAAAGTCGAGAAATTGAGTCCTAGTATGCTTGGCTGCTCCTTTCCGCTGTATAGTAAACTTCAGAAGATTATGATCACTCGCGCCCAATGATCCTTCCACTTCTACCCCACTAACCAGGTCATCAACATTGGTTAGGACCAGATCTAAAATGGCTGTTCCTCTTGTTGCTTCTCCCACTTTCTGGACAATGAAGTTGTCTGCAAGGGCAGTGAGGAATCTGTTTGACCTTATGCTCTTGGCTGAGTTTGACATCCAACAAATATCCGGGTAATTGAAGTCCCCCATTACTACTATCTCCCTTCCTTTTGCATGCTTGGCCATCTGTTCCAGGAAGGCATCATCTATGTCCTCCGTTTGGCTTGGGGATCTATAGTAAACTCCCACAATGAGGTCACTGTTATTCT